GGAGGGGGCTCCTCGGGGTGGGCTGGGGACTCCCGGCTTCAGATGGCGAAGGAACCGGTGGTCGCAGGACTTGGTCTCCCTGGGCTGGTCCTTGGAGTTTGAGGGGGAGACTTTCCCCAACTCTCCGCCCCGAAGCCGAGGTCTGTGCGAGCCGGGCCCTGGATGGATACCGGTGTGGCCCTGCCTGAGCCGCAGCCTCCAGGTCCCCCAGTCCTCAAAGGGAAGTGAGGTCTCCGTGCCAGCTAGGGGCAGCGAGGGGTTTGTTACTCCCACTGCCACGACGCGTTTCTCAAAATGGAGCCTCGCTTGCCCCTCCTTCTCCAGACCCGGAGAGGAAGCCGGCCGGCTGGCGGGCCGACTTTCCAGGCCTGTCTCGGCCCAGTGAAAGTCCTCTGGTTCCATGGGCGGTGGCCGCGTGGGTTTGCCACCCCATTGCTGGGTCTGCCTGTCCCCTCGCGCCCCAGTGGGCCTCCTCTTTGTCTCTGTCTTTTTCTGTCCGCAGCTGCCCTCCCCAGGCCGCACTCTGTCCCCTCCGGTGGGAAAGGCACACAGAAAGATAGCCCTTTGCCCACTGTTCTCCCAAAGCCCTGGAAGGAGAGCAGCTTGATCCGCTCTGCTCAGGGCTGCCCTTGTAGAGTGGTCCCGGTTCCCAGTCCAGATGAGAGGCCTGCGTTTCACTCTGCCTGGTGCTCTCCCTCCACCCCCACAGCTCCCTCAGTCTCCTTCTTGGCTCGCCTTGCCTGTCCTCTTGAGGGTGGGTGGACTCAGTCCAAGGAAGATAGGGGACAGGGGCGCAGGGGTCATGGGTTCCACATCACCCCACCACCCAGCATGAGAAACAGGCCCCTCACTCGCTGACCCTGTGTGCCACCTAGACCCCCCTAACATCACCCCAACACAGCATGAGAAACAGGCCCCTCACTCGCTGACCCTGTGTGCCACCTAGACCCCCCTGGGTCCCACCCACCTTCACACTCACACAGACTCCTCATTGGAGGACACTGTCACCATCCTGCAGCTCACACACTGTGTGCATGGTCTGACACAGGTGTCTTACATTTTCTAATAGACACATCCATACACCACAGTCCACCTGTGCCTATGTGTTTGTAGCTGTCATCTAATAGCGACTTCCTGTTTATATAGTCTTGTAAGATTCACAAATGTACTGATGCATTTGTCCAAACACATAGACTATGCACACACTCCTTCATGATGTTGTCACACACGCTTTTAAATCTGCTCATTTTGGGTTGTTTTTGTTTTTTGCAGTGCTGGGGATGGAACCCAGGCTCTTGAATGTGCTAGACAAGTGCTCCCCCACTGCACTGTGTCCCTGGTTCTCACCTACGGACTTTTTTGCATGCACAATAAGTAAACACACTCCTACTCCCATGAAGTTTCCTCTCCACTTCTTGGCTCCTGCTCTGCATGATGACTTCAGCAGATGCCTGAGCTCTGGTCCTCAGTGGCCTCAGGACTGGGAGGGAGTTCCGGGTGGAGGCTTGCTGTCTCCTTAGGAAGGAGCAGGCCTGGGGAGGCGGAGCCCTCAGCTTGGGATGCAAAGTGAGGGCTGGAGCCGCCCCCAGAGGTGTGGTGGACTTCTGCCTGTACCCCAGGGAGTTGGGCTGAGGCCGGAAGGTGTCAAAGAGGCCAGCACTGGGGCAGGGCCTGACTGCCCGGGTGTGCAGAGCCTAGCACCGTGGTGGCAAATCTGTGGCAGGAGCCCTCTTGTGGTGATGTCACAAGTTGTGTGAGTTTTTTCTGAACCCACACCTCAGTATTCAGGTTTAATTGCAGTGTTGACGGCTTTGCAATAAATAAGTGAGTTTTGGGTTGCAGTTTGAGCGTTCGGTCTCTAAAAGTTTCGCTATCACTGGGGTAGGAGCTGTCTTGGAAACAAGCATGAGCCTGTATCCGTCACTGGGAGGCAGGACACTCCAGAGGGCACCTGTGGGCTTCCTAAGAGCCACGGGGTTCCTGTTTGGCAGGCTCCACCTTACCACCTTCCTGTCTGGGAGAAACTGAGGCCCAGCAGGGGGAGGCTGGGCACAGCGTGGCCGTGGCTTCTTGTTCCCTAATTACCATCTGAGTTGCTATTGCATCCCAGACACTGCATCTCCCCAAGCTGCCCTGTAATGAGGCCACCATCCCAGGAGAGCAGGGACAGGGGCTTGGAATTGGTAGAGAAGGCTGTTTGCCTGCTTGGTCCTGGCCTTCGTGGGGATGCAGGTTTGGGCTTGGCTCGGGCTTGTGTCTGTGCCCAAGTGACCCCACACGACTGTGCCAGCTTCCCATCCCTCACTCCTCTGCTTGGTGGGATCAGTCCTCAGCTGTAGACCATTGTCGGGGAGTGGTTGGGGACAAGAGAGCTGGAAAATTGGAGTTTGTTACTGATGTCTAGGGGGACTGTGGCCTGGTTGGGTAGGGTCTCGAGCTGGGGGACTGACACCACGGCCCTGTTCGCAGGTTACCCTGGAGGCCCACAGCCTGGCCTGAGCCTCTGCCGCCATGGCCATTGTGCACACTGTTTCAGTGCCACTGGAGCCCAGCACTGAGGCCGCCACTGCGCCGCAAGCCCCAGCCATGGGCAGTGTGAGCAGTCTCATCTCCGGCCGGCCCTGCCCCGGGGGGCCAGCTCCTCCCCGGCACCGTGGCCCATCGGGGCCCACCTTCTTCCGCCAGCAGGATGGGCTGCTCCGGGGTACCTACGAGGCGCAGGAGCCTTTGTGCCCAGCTGTGCCACCCAGGAAGGCCGGCCCCGGCCCCAGCTTCACCTACATCAATGAGGACTTCCAGACAGAGTCACCCCCCAGCCCGAGCAGTGATGTTGAGGACACCCGGGAGCAGCGGGCAGGGAGCGCTCACCTCCGCGGCCCCCCACCAAAGCTCATCCCTGTCTCTGGAAAACTGGAGAAGGTAAGGACCAGCCTCTTCAGGACCTGGGCGGACTCAAGCCCCCAGGGAAAGCTGGAATGCAGCAGGCTATTTAGAAGAAAGAACCCACAGCCTAGTTCTGATGCCCCCTCTACCTCACTGTGGCTGCGTGACTGAAAGGAAGTCACTTAACCTAGCTGAACCCTGTTTTCTTTTTTCATTTTATAGTTTATTTTTTCGGTACCAGGGATTGAACTAAGCACCTTGCACTTGTGAGGCAGGTGTGGTGCCACTGAGCTAAATCCCCAGCCCTCGTTTTCTGTTACCTGTATATTCAAGGTAGTAGGCTAGCTCTTGCTAGATGCTGTTGTGAAAATTAAATGACGCCAGGCATCAGCAAGAACCCATAAATAGTAGTTCCTTGAATTACTGTGGAGCGATCCCCGAGTCTGACTTTGGGCCAAGCTTTCTGCAGTGCCTCCATCTCCGCCTCTCGTGTGGGAGGTGGTGACGCTGTTTCGCTTGTACGGCTGGTGTAGTGATGAGGAACGAACCCGAGTCACATGACATAAGCTGACACTCAGAGGCCCCCGGCCAGGGACTGCGAGTGTTGGGGACCCCAGATGGGGGTGGGGGGTGGGGCAAGGGCTTGAGGGTGGGTGGCTCCTCAGAGTCCATGGCGCCTCATTTCAGAACATGGAGAAAGTCCTGATCCGCCCGACGGCCTTCAAGCCGGTGCTGCCCAGGTCTCGAGGGGCACCCTCCCTCCCAAGCTTCCTGGGTCCTCGGGCCGCTGGGCTGTCTGGGAGCCAGGGCAGCCTCACGCAGCTGTTTGGGGGGGCTGCCTCCTCCTCCTCCTCTTCCTCCTCCTCATCTTCGGCTGCCGACAAGCCTCTGACACTGAGTGGCTGGGCCAGCGG